AAAAAAAAAAAAAAGAAACCCGAGTAACAGTGTGGACAGAGAGTACTCTCCCTGTCATCTTCCTCTGCCTGTGTGTCCTCCTGCACTCACTCCTTCAGCACACACTGATCTTAGGGCTGTGACATGTGCTGATGGGACATCCAGTTGTGCTGTGCCTCACATTCCTTGTCCTGAATGCAGGGCAACAGAGTCACAGATCTCCCCAAACGGTGAACCACATCCAATGTGTCAAAACCACACACTCAGGAATAAGCAAGGCAGGAAACAAGCACCCAGGGACTATACTAGCTGGGTGAGGAAGAGGGAGTGAAGCAAGGGAGCCAGGCACAGCTTTTACAAAGGGCCACAGAGGAGAAAAGACCAGGCACCAGCCAAGAGGGACTCCCAGGATCATGCCATTTGGAAGACTTGGGTGGGAACATGGACACAGCCATCAGGAAGGAATCCGTGACCTCAAAGAATTCTGACACATGTAACCTCAAGGATGCACTTCGAGGATGCTGTGCTCAGATCTATCAGCCAGCCCTGTTTCTAGAGGCTTCTCAGAGCTCAGATCCCTAAAACAAAGGAGGAGGCTGCGTACTGGCTCTGAAGATGGAAACTCAGAAGAAAACCCAGGCTCAGAAAGATGAAGTCACTGGGCAGGGACCACACAGCGGTCCAAGCTGGATGTGGGGCCTCCAAATGCCCAGCACCTCTGCCTTGCTGAGGTCAAGCTGTTTCCAGGGGCCCACACAGAGCTGGCTGGTAACTGGGTACTCCATGAGCCCAGACATGGGGGCTCTCTTTAGGAAAGGACTCGACACCTAAGAACGGATACATGAACATACGTACCTGGTAGTAGGCTTTCAGGTGCTGGAGGATTTCCATCATAGCATTGTTGGTCGAAGCCTGAGAGCCCCTGCACTTGTCCTGCTCCTCGTTCTCCTCCTCTCTGACCTTGTGTAGTGCATCCCGGTAGGCCTGGTCCTGGCAGTAGACAAGCTTCTCCATCTGGAAGTGAACGCGGATTGCCTTCTCCGCCACATCTTCCTGGCTCGATCGAATGTCTTCGATTTTGTTCTGCATGAAGAAAAAGACGCCTAAAGATCCGGTAGGAGGGAACCCAAGACCACAGCACACAGCTCACTTGAGAGTCCACAGGAGTGGGCACCTGACCCGAATGTCCCCACCACCAGTGCTGTAAGTGGATCCCATTTGGGCTGGGTCCCATCAATTCTGTGCACCTCAGGACACCGCCCAGGTCCATTCAGGGCCGTGGGCCAGTAGAGCAACGGCCCTCAGCGTCAGGCAGGAGGGTGGTAGAGCCAGTCTCTCCCCTGTGCCAGCACCAGGTGCAGCCTGAAGTGCTCTGTGCCTGCACCTGGGCCTCACCTGTCCCTGTCCCTCCCCGCTCTCCTCAGATCCAGTTTCTGTGCTGAGCCTCCTCGGTGAGTGTCCTGGTGGGGCCTTCACCTCCTGCACTCTACTCACGACCCTCTCTGCTGCCCCATGTCTACACTGACTGGGGTTCCTGGTTCCAAGCCTAA